ATTTCGCTACTCGATGACTATTACTAATAGTCCCCTAGTAGCGTAGCCAATCAAAATGCAGGATTTGCATTAGTCCACTAGTTGGGTGATACTAATTACTATTATTAATAGAAAGCTGTTTGTTTGAAATTGTGTTCTGAACCCAACTAATCCCTCGTCAGAAAATCGGACAAACAAGGGTTATTTACCGGAGCTGCATGCTAAATCTACTAACTGATCAAACTTAACCATGTATTCTTCCGAAACTATATAAAAAAAAATAATAAATTCTTTGAACTTTTGCAACAACAAAATAACACTGAGAAGTATTTCCTTTTGGATTTGAACCAAAACTAGGTTTTCAATGATTCCAATTGCTGTTTATATACTGCTAGAATTAACAAAAGAGGATGGGGATTAAAGAAGAGTCGTTCTTTTCATTACATAGAACACAAATCAAGAAAAAGAAGCTGAAGAGATTTTTAAAAAAAACTTCAACACTGATTTCTTAGCTTTGTCCGTCATGCCTTTGGAAAAAGACGTCAAGCTTTCAATTGCTTTCTTTCCACTCCATTAAGTTAAAAAGTTCCTTCAAAAATGAGAAAATATAAAAATAATTTAAGAACAGCTAAGAAATCATCAACTATTAGTTATCTAAATCCAATAAGAAAACTACCGTATATCAAAATTTTAACACGTCACATACTCTTGAAATGCGATATCGAGCAAAGTAAATTAAAGAAAATTAATAGCTGGTCCTCAAAAGCCATTGTTTGAAAATAATTGAATAATATATTTTACTTAGATCTAGAAAGTAGCGAAGACAGCGACAACAAGGACAGTGATGATGACGGCGGAGATAGCAGTAGCGAAGACAGTGATGAAGACGAAGTAGAAGAAAGTGACGAAGACAGTGATGATGATGATGATGATGATGATGATGGAGATGACAATGTCGAAAAAAGCAATTCTGAAGATGAAGACGATTAAGATGGAGATGAAGATGAGAGTGGCGAAGATGACGACGATGATGATAAAGATGACAGTTGCGAGGACAACGATAATGACAATAAAGACGACAGTGGAGAAGACGACGACGATGACGATGAAGATGGCAGTGGCGAAGATGACTATGATGACAATGAAGACGACAGTGGAGGAGACGACGATGATGATGACGATGAAGATGACAGTGGCAAAGATGACGATAATGACAATGAAGACGACAGTGGAGAAGACGACTACGACGATGGTGAAGATGACAGTGGCGAAAATGATGATGATGGCGGTGTAGATAGCAGTGGTGAAGATGAGGATGATGACGATGATGACAACGAAGATAACAGCCGTGAAGATGATGAGGATGAGGATGATTACCATTAAGGTGACATTAACGAAGTGGACGATGATGGCGATAGCGATTACAATCGTGAAGGTGATTATGATGACAATAATTATGATGGTGACGATGAAGATGGCATTGGTGGAGATGATGATGCTGACGATATAAATGATAGTGACGAAGGTAGCGATGATGACGATGGAGATGACACTGGCGAGGAAAGCGATAAAGAGGATGGAGATGATAGTGCCGAAGACAACGGTGAAGAGGAGGTAGACGAAGAAGACGATAAATATGACAGAGGCGACGAGACACATGACGATGACGACGATAACGACGATAACGACGATAACGACGATGAGGATGACAGTGGGGAAGACGACGACGATGATGATGAAGATGACAGTGGGGAAGATGACAACGATGACGATGAAGACGACAGTGGCGAAGATGACGCTGATGGCGATGGAAGTGACAGCAGTGAGGTCAACGATGAGGATAACAAAGATGACATTGGTGAGAACGATAATGATGACGATGAAGATGACAGTGGTGATATTGATGAAGATGACGATGGAGTTGACGTTTATGATGATGGAGATGAAATTGACGAGGAAAGCCATGATGAAAATGAAAACGATAACATAGAGCCACTTTATTTATTTTGCCAAGTAGCGCATTACCAGTTAAGACAGAAGGCAAAAAGGCCAGCTTGGTCATGAAAAGATCATACGTAGTCCTTATGAACAATATCGCGATTCAGAGTAGTGAAAATAAAAAAAAAAGTTAGAAGAGGAGAAAATACAGTGCAAACATGCGTTACTGTGTCTCAGTGTTGTATCTCTCCCCTTGTATCGTTAGAACGAAAATTGGGAAAAAACTCGCCTACTTTTGTTTTGTTTTGACTGATTTCAGGTAGATGCTTTTTACCCAAAGTTCCTGGGCCGCGTAAAGCATCTTTTCCGAACTATTATTATAACCTCAAAACTGGAAAGTGCGAGAAGTTTATCTACGGTGATTGCTTGGGAAATGCAAACCGTTTTGGCGACTTCGACGACTGCACCAAAACATGTCTAGTAAGTGTTTGTTTCTTTTTTGCCTATACAGTGAAACCTTTATTAAGCGGACACCCTCGATCGGGACTTTCCCAAGTGTCTGCTTAATAGAGGGTGTCCGCTAATAAAGGTTTATAACAATTGCGCAGTGTTTGTCAACAATTAACATTCAGCAGTTCCTCTGTACTGTAATAAAGTTCCAGGTTGTTAACAAAGCTATTCAGGGTTCAAGTTCGTCAGCTTTCATTACCAACTTTAATTTGTTTGCAATACTTCCCTTTCCATACAGCAGCGATAATACAGGTACATTTAATCGACTATTCCAAGGACATAATCCAATGCCGCATTGTCAATTCAGTCCGGTGTCCGCTTAATATAAGTTTTTAACAATAGAAATTAGCAAAATACAATTTATTAAGTGTCCGCGTGCGCTTAATAGAGATGTCCGCTGAACAGGGGTTCGTTATAAAGGGAAATATAACACGTTAATCTCGGGACCAGGGTAAGTGTCGCTTAATAAAAGGTATCCGCTTAATTGGGGGGTCCGCTTAATAGAGGTTTCACTGTATGCAGAATACCAGTTGATAACCGAGGTATTGTACTTGGCTTTGGGCACTCTCCATTTACTAGCAACACTTGGAACGTGACTTCGTTTCTGACTCCATCGACTGTAGTTTTAGGTAGATAGTAAAATGTCAAAATAAAAATAAAAAAAATAACAGGTCTTTAGACTGCTGATATCGCATTCGTTGTAACATAAAGCAGAGACTAAGTTATGTAACAGAGAATATTAGGAAACATCCCCAAGAAAACACGCGCGCTAATTGGTTAAAAATAGTGTTTCTAAAACTCGATAGAAACACAGAACTAGCACGAACTGTTGACGTAATGATGGCGCGAGCAAAGCGAATTTACATTTTGATGATCAAAGTTAACAATTTGTTTGTCTTTGTTTTCCTCGCGGTGTTTTCTAAAAGAAATAGAAAACATGTTCTCCGTGTTTCGATCGAGTAATAGAAACACTTGTGAAAGTTTGGGAGAACTCGAAAAAGTTGGAGAAACACTCGCCTACGGCTCGTGTTCCACAGCATTTCTCGTTCTCCCAAACTTCCACTTGTGTTTTTATAACTCGATAGATACACGGTACATGTTTTCTATTTCTTAATTGGCATTACAAGGGTTTTGTTTAATGATTTTTGGTAGTGAAAAACGTAAGGTCTTCAAATAATCGAGAGATAGTAAAACTGCATAAAACTGCATCTTATATATATATATAT